CCCTCACTGGGGGATTCTAGGCAGGGGCTCTACCACTGAGCCACACCCCAGCCCCTCACTGGGAGATTCTAGGCAGGGGCTCTACCACTGAGCCACACCCCAGCCCCTCATTGGAAGAGTCTATGCAAGTCTTCTACTGCTGAGCCACGCCTCCAGGATTACAATTGTCTTTCTTTTTAAAGATTAATTTTATTTTTAATTATGCATATGCGTATGTCTCTGTGCACATGCATGCTGGTGCCTGGGGAGACCATGGACATGGGATCCCCCTGGAGCTGGGGGTACAGACAGTTGTGAGCCATCTCACATGGGTCCTGGGACTGAACTCAAGTCCTTCTGTGCACACTTTCAAGCAGCTGTCTTTCTGCCTTCTGCCTTTCATCCTGACTGTCTCAGTGTGAACCAGACCCTGATGGACAGCCCGCACAGACCCCACTGCCCTCACCTCTGCAGGAACTCCGGCAGCCCCCACAGACCCATCTTCCCCCCACTGGCCCTCACCTCTGCAGGAACTCCGCCAGCCCGCCCAGACAGCAGTGTGCCATTCTCTCCACGAACTCCTGACTGATGTGGGGCGCTCTCTCTGTGTGTTCTTCCAGCAGCTGTGTGCACCAGGGGGAGGAAAAGGTTCACGGTGATTGTGGGGGTTCAGTCCCCCTTCCTCCCCTCCCATGCCCCAGGCTATCCCCTTCCTCCTCCTACCTCACAAACATCTTGGGCCAGGTTGCTGGGCCTGTAGTCCATGCTGGCCCACTTTTCCTCATCTTCCTGCAGCACTCGGAGAAGGGCTGCACGGGTCTGAGCCTGAGACAGGGGGATAGACCAGCAGGAGTCAGGTGCAGCCTGGGACCTTGGGTCTCTCACCTGAGCAGCTTCACCAAGAATTTCTGGGCTCAACCCACAAACTCCGCGGTCAAGGAGATGCTTGGAGGCTCCCCCACCTCCTCCTTCCCGCCTGCTGTCTAGGACTGAATATTAAAACCGTGTGGTGTGGTGTGGATTTTTTTAAAAAATATATAAGGCAGATGTTGGTGACGCACACCTTTAATCGCAGCACTCGGAAGGCAAAGGCAGGCGGATCTCTGTGAGTTCGAGGTTCGAGGTCAGCCTGGTCTAGAGTTCCAGGACAGCCAGGGGCTACACAGAAACCCTGCCCGAGAGAGAGAGAGAGAGAGAGAGAGAGAGAGAGAGAGAGAGAGAGAGAGAAAGAGAGAGAGAGAGATTTGATAAATTTATATTTGCTTTTTTTATGTGTTTATGTGTGTATTATGTGTTTATATGTGTGTGTATGTGTATGTGATGTGTGTGTGTGTGTATGAGGTGTGTGTGTATGTGGTGCATATGTTTGTGTGTGTATATGGTGTGTGTATGTGTGTGTGTATGTGCGAATGTAAGTGCCCACAGAAGCCAGAAGAAGGTGTCAGATTCCTAGAGCTGGAATTACAGGTGGCCATGCACTGGCTGATAAGGACGCTAGAAACTGAACTTGAGTTTCACTTAGCTGCTTAGCCATCTCCAGCTCCAACACCATATGTGTGTGTATGTGTGTATGTGTGTGTATGTGTGTGTATGTGTGTGTGTGTGTGTGTGTGTGTATGTGTGTGTGTGTGTCACACACACATATATACACACACACACATATTTGTGGGTTTTGTTTGTTTGTTTGTTTTCCAGACAAGGGTTCTCCATGTAGCCCTGGCTGTCCTGAAACTCTGTAGACCAGGCTGGCCTCAAACTCAGAGATCTGTGTGCCTCTGCCCCCCAAATGCTGGAATTGAAGGGGTGAGCTACCACGTCTGACTGCAACTTGTATTTTTAAACTTTAACAGCCAAGGGGGTTAAGTGGTGTACATGTCACCGTTTGAGGGTGGTAAGGCTCTGCTACTGGGTCCTGCCGAACAACTGGTTTAAAATGCTCCTATTGTGGTTCCTGGGAAAGGAACCCAGTGGAACGGCCTTGACCTCACACGGACAAGGCTCTGGGTTATTCATGACACCGTACACAGAAAGACACACCTAAGAGTCCTGAATTCTGATTCAAGAATGCCAAAGGGTAAATGATAGGTGTTTAGCTCAGTGGTAGAGCCCCTGCCTAGAGTCCCCCAGTGAGGGGCTGGGGGTGTGGCTCAGTGGTAGAGCCCCTGCCTAGAA